TAACTCTGCTATCCCCATCCATCAGGCAGCCAGCGAGGCATCAGGAAGGAATGATGGATGTAAAATTATTACAGGGCTGCCACCTGATATACTTACTGCCATTTGTAACTAACGCTGGAACTGACACACTTTTTTCATTATTAAACATCCACATTAAGTCAACATTGGTCACTGTCATTTCATGTTTGGCACTCTCCTAAGGGGAAGAGGGAGAGGTGGGGGTGGAAGTGGGGAGGATGGTGGGAGGAGGGCTGGGTGGGAATGGGAGCAAAGGCATCCTGAACCCGATGTTCCATAAGCATGAGGAACAAATAGGCTCCTGCTTACAATGCTGGAATAAATATTGTTACAAATAGCTCTTTAGTTACAGCCCAGCAGACAAGTACATGTCAGAGCCTTTTAAAAGGACACACTCCACGCGACGACAGGGAGAACCTCTATCACAGGTTAAGAAACACTTCAGCACAGGAGGTATATGTATTCAGATGCACTCATCTCAGAGGATGCTACGAGTGTGACTGCGTCGTCTATACATGTCTGAAATGCTTCTGTGGCTGTGTGTACTTACACAACTGCCCCAGCCACTGGCACCTTTAGCAGCAGGTGCCAGAATTCGGAAACCAGTACCTGCATTTGTACCAGTGTACACAGACACCTGCTCAAATACCTGCTTGGGAGCCCCCTTCCTCCTTTTTTTTTACAGTTACCAGGGTACATACACAAATGTTTGAGAGTCTTGCGATAGTCAGAAAATTACTGGCTAGCTCAGTGCATGTCTGAGCTGCGTATCTCTGAAAGGCTGCACTGTAGGCTTGTATGCGTGCACACACATGCTGGCTCTTTGTGTTTGTGTACATCTCCTTTGCAGAGGAACAGGCAGTTTTGGGGCCAAACAAACAGAACAGAGTCCACTTGCTGATGTTGCCCGTTGTGGTGTTTGCACTAGATGACAATCTGCACTCTAAGCTACATGTATAAAAGGTAACATTGTTTATGTATAGCACATATCAAGCTATAATTAACCATAGATGACAATTACAAATAAAACTATGCTCCTGGGTTTCCAAGAAACCAGGAAAACATATACACACACTTCTCATTTATACACGGAAATGTTTCCAAGAAAAGTAATGTAAAAATATGTTTTATTGCATTTGCAATTAAAATAGGTTTTAGTAAAATCCACGTTCATCATGATGCTCATAGTTTTTACTGTAATCCTCTGAAAATCAAATCCCTCAAGATGGTCCAAGTTGGATGCCCATAAAGTGACTCACCCAAATCATCCTAGCCATTTTTAAAAATCTTCTCTGATTTATGACTCCTTTTACACAGTTTTTCTGCAATTCCACAAAATTCCTCTCTGACTACTGCCTTACAGCTGGCAGGTCTGGCTGTCCACAGGGATCAACCCATCTGGGAACAGAAGCCAGATAACAGGTCACGTACATGTGTGGAGAAAAGCCCCAAGAGCTTTAACAGAGACTCACGAAGGTGATTTCTAGCCCTGAGCCCGCCCAGCTACCCCTGGCAGATAAATCCCTACCAAGAGTCTAACATACATGTTCAGAAGTGCACAGAGCCTACCTTCACCATAGGCTGCAGCAGCAATTCATACAACAACAACAAAAAAAAAATCAACAGGTCTCCATAACTACACTAGCCACTGCAGCAAGGACAGGAGGAAAAATTGGGATAGTACCAGACAAATGTTTGTTGCCTATAAAGACTGAGACCACTCTACAAGAAGGAGAGTCTTCCTTCTGTACGTAACTATAGACATAATGCACATTTCCAAGTACAAATATGCCCATGGACACGTAGCTACATTAGGTTAACCCTCTTTTAATTCCATCCCTCACCTCAAAATCTCCCTGTCAGGAAGCAACCAGAGAGAAAACTTAACGTCCCAGAAGTTCAGGGGCTGCCTCTAAGTCCCCCGGCGGAACCCTGAGCTTCTGAAAGGAAACCCTCTGCAGCACTCTATTTCTCACTACCCACCTTCCCAATTCCTTCTTTTTCTTTCCCTTTAAAACAGGGAAAAAACAGAATAAAATTTAATTCAAAATAATGGCAACACTTATCTTCGTCTCAAATCTTGCTCTTAATTAAATCTTTAAAGTCCTAGATCAAACAGACACAAACTTCAAAGAAGTTGGGGTGTTTGGATCTGAACTTCGCAACTGGCTAGTCAGTGGACAGCCTACAGCATACACAGGAAAGGAGAAGAAGTACCTATACTTTATAGCCTATGTCTTTTCCTCTGTTGGGTCAAATGCAAGAGACAGCTCAGGAGACCCTACTCCTTAACTAGTGCTTAGTGACTTCAGTGGTCACCCCAGCAACTCAAACACCATTAGAGTCTACGAGAGCTCAGACTTGGTTCTGTCCTTTCCTGTCACCATTTTAAAAATAAAATAAATAAAATAAAATAAAATAAATCAGTACACCCTGATAAAGTTTTGGCATTTATTGTATCAAAACCCCCAAACTCTTCAGTTGGTTTAGAAAAATTTTCAATCGAGCAAACTACTTTTTCTGCCTGCTACCTTGTAAAAGAACTCCCCTCTGCCCTCCACGAGCCCACCAGGAGGCATGAATTAGAGAGGAAAATAAACTTCAACTGGGGTTGAGGGTGAGAAGTGAAAACAGAAGGGGTAAGGAGAATCCCAACAATAGGAAAGTAACAGAATAAAGTGAATGCAGATGGTTCCACTCCTGTTACTTAATCAAAAGGCTGTGCAGAGTCACTAGAGCCAGCATAAAGTCATGTGTTAGAACAACAGCTGATCTGTATTAAAGAAGATTAACTCGCAATGCCATGGTGGAGGGCCTGGGATTATTTTATGTACTTCCATTGCCGAACAAGCCGTCAGCACAATTACTGCCCTCCGATGTGAATGACTGATCTGTAACCACAGCTAAACAGCATGCTGCTTAGGGGCCTGGGTGCTTCATGAAGATGAATTTCCATACCATCAAAGTGCTTTTAATGGGCTTCCTGATCCAACCACAAGGCCTGCTTTGCAAGTATAGAGAACTCAGGATGAAGGCTTCCTGTCCAAAAGGATTTGGTCGGTTGTCACTTGACAATTCCCAGGGAGGAGAGGGGGGAGATAGGTAGAGTTGTCTCTGCTTTGGAGGATTAAAAAAAAAAAAAAAAAAAGGAGAAAAAAAAGGGTACAGATGCTTTCTGAATGCAACCAACTGCTGTATCCACAGCTGAATTCAATGCGCTTAACAAATAACGGCAATTTAGCTATGCTTGCGAGGAATAGCTTGAGTCACTTTGCATTAGCATCTGGCTGAGTGTTAAAGTCATTTCTACATGGGGAGCAGAGAAAAGAAATTTCTGCTCCAAGCATCCTTTCAAGAATGTTTAAATATTTGAATATAAATTCCTTTGTGCTTGCGATCACTTCTTCTTATATCTGACACTCTGCTTTTCCCTTTTCCCTTCTGGTACTCTTCTATGTGAAATGCTGTAAACATTCTCCATCCCTCTCTTTCTTTCTCTCTCCCCATACCAGCGCTCTTTTTCTTCTAAGAGTGATTGTATGGACTGCCAGATACCTATTACACTGACCTCTTTTTTCCTTCTCTTTCCTCTCAAGAAAGTGCATGAAATTGGAGTCATTTCTACATCACTTACACCCAGGATAGGCTGATGAAAAAAGTACAGTAGTGAGGGACTCACATGTACATTTAACATTCATTACGCAGACTGCTGGCTTCTCGCAGCTTATTGATCAAACTCCATCTAAAAACAGGGAAAATGGAAAGCTATCCAAATTATCAATCTGCTCATTCTGGACAATATTGTTTGACTCACAAGCTTCCTAGGATGACTGACTTTCAAGTTTCTGCTAAATAGCTGACCATTTTTATTCATTCTATTTATCTGCCTATCTCAGTGATCTACACAAGGCCCTACAATAAAAAGCCACTAGAAGCAGTTTCAGTAAAATGCAGTTTACACCAAATGCAACAACGGTCATCTTTGTGTAGTGCACAACTAAGGCTGTATCACCTCAGAAAACACTGCAGGGGAAGAGAGGAATTGAGGAAAAAGTCTTGCTATGCATATGATGTTGAGGCACACACAAGAGTTTGGATGTCTATTTCAGGTGGCAGTATTATAAGGACACCTCACTATAAATGTGGCAGCAAGAACTGGCAGGTCTATTTATCCTCCATAAGCCAGGGCACTGTACAGAAAGACATCAGGTATTTCCAGAGAAAAGCAGCAAATCACAACCTCTTTGACATACGCGACAGTTAGAGTACTTACAAATTTTACTAGAAAATATTCACTTTGTCAATATTCTGTTAGAGCACAACTTCACAGGCCAGTTCAAAAGCAGAAAGTGCTAAAGTCCCGACGTTCTGCTGCTTCTAAGTTTCACTGCAAATATTTGGTGCAGTTTGTGTTGTCAATTCTCCATTTTTTTCAATTTTGTTAAGTCATCTAACGTGACATGACAGTGCTACATTGCAATGGTCACAAAATATCATATATGACAACCTCACAAGGCTAAATACCCAGAAGCTGAGCCTCAGTATCAGCAAAGCTTATGCTCCTAAAGAAGCTTGAATATTTTCAAATCCAGCTCATCACATCAACACATGTAAGCGTTTCCATAAAGCAAGATTTCGACTTAGACCCAGAGATTTCCAAGATCACCTTCTCATAATGCACACTGACAGGCTGGAACAGAGAATTAGTGGCCTCCAAAGTTCTTGTGAGGGCTTTAACTACCTCTGCCTCCTCCCCCCGCTCCCCCAAGGGTCTCCAGGTCTCTCTCTCATGTCAGCTTTTGGTTGTGGTTTTCATTTTGCATTTCGCTTTTTTTGAAAGAAGCAACAACTCTCTTTAAAAATGGGCAAGAAGAAAATAGAGCAAGAAAAAGGAGAGAAAAAAGGGAGGAAGAACCTATGTATCTGCAAGGAGAGCGAAATGCAATCTCTGAACCTTTGCAAAGGGAGTGTTGGAAACTCACCTTTTCTGTCCTGCAGTTATTGAGACCCAGGCTATTCACAACGGCCACCTTCCCATCCAGCACCTGTTGTTCCCTCCGAAGTTGCTCCTTCATCTGCCGGGCCTCCTGGATTGCCTTGGTAACAGCATCGTGGTCATTTAAATAACCTGACGACGTGATAGAAGAAAGGATATCTTAAAAAAAGAAAGTTATAAGAAAACACTTTAGCTTTCATTGATGAAATGCACCAATAGTTTATCATTATTAATGAGAAAGAGCTAAAAGGTAATGCCCAGAAGCCCGTCTGTGCTTTGTAATTCTGTTACTGCTACAACAGAGCCACCTGGATAGAATGCATGAGAAACCTCAGCGTCAAAATAATCGTCCTGATATTTGATCCCATTAGTTTCAATATTCCCCGACGCTGCAGAGGTTAGCCCTGTGGTTTGCATGCAGCAGGATGTAACCGGATAAGAGTTAGGGAAAGCTTTGATCACACTAGCAATCCCAAACTCTTAAAAATAGACCATTTCATTCTTCCCCATCTTAAAACTTGTGAATACATTAAAATAAACCACAGGTGGCGGTGGTTTGCTATAGATATGAAATGCATAATGGCTGGGAAGAGAAACCTCATCCACTGAATGCTCCCCCCCACCCTGTCATTCAGAAATGCATAAGAAACCACAGCTACATGGACCTACATTCCCACTCCTATTCATGCTGCTAATAGTAGGTCAAATGTCCACTGTTTTGCTGCAAATTCACAGCCTAGGGCTTAGCCTTAGTAGTCACTGAATTATTTCCTTTTAAAATGTTACAAGCATCACCAGCACAGCTAATACTATTTAATTTTAAATGTGACAGTTTGTCATTTTTTTTCCTTTAGCGTTCTGTAGATTATACTTATTATGATCTGCATGTGATTTGTAGGATAGAATACTGATGGGAGACTCCAAGCCCCAGTCTATTTTTCAAACATTAAAGGAGAGGCTAATATCTATCAATCTCCCTCCCCCCCTCTACATCCCCACACGCGCACGCATGCACACACACACACACTTCTTTCTGTCTTTTAACTAGGGCATAAAAACGGCATAAAATGAATCTGTAATATGAAATTGCCCAGAAAAGGGACTTCTGTTTGTGACATGAGGCTAAATCTAACCAGATCCATTGGTGAATTGTGACAGATGGAGGGACTGTGAGACAGAAGGCAGGCACTAATCACACACAAAATGACCGGCTTGCCTCAACATGTTCCATGGATTCCAGCAAACTTTACACCCTAATCCATTTTTAGAACAAAAAACATCTGGGCCATAAATCCTCTAATCTGCCAAAACACGCTATTAAATCCCATGATTTGTTGAAAAACACTAAGATTAAAGAAAGGAAATATAAAATGGCTAACTGCCGTGTTAGGAAAGTGTTATTAATACTCTTTCTTTGTCTCAATTATGAATGTTCTGTTCCTAAAGAGCCTTGTCTAATCATGTCAGATTACACATCCTTGTTGTATTGCTAGACTCTTCTATCTGATCCGCTGATTGCCAAAAAACGTAGGACATTGTCTTGCTGCTTAAAACATTTCAGGGGAAGAAGCTGATGTCAGATTAGTTCAGTGCTGTGCTGCTGTCAGGATTTTAGTTTGGTTTGAGTTTTTATTGTTGTTTTTTTAGATTGCAGGCAGAATGGGACTGGTATTCCCATCTTCCTTGGCGCGCAAAAACTAGAAAGAAAAGTTTCTGTGTGGTTTGACTGTTGGTAATTCTACTAACAGTTAGCTTTTGGCTCAATACCCAGAAACCCTGAGAGTTTTATATGAAATAACTTGATCCACATTGCTTTTATCAAATGATTCAGTTCAGTAATTCCCAGCCAATGGAATACCAGTAATTCCAGCTTTCCTAGCGTAAGGAAGGATATAACCTGCACCAGCACAGTGCTACCAGCTGATTTTTTTTTTTTAACCTCCATTTTATCAACTTGCTTGGTTTCTTCCCCGTTTGCATCTGTTACTGATCAAGCTTCCATGTAGTCAGAATAAATTAAAAAGGAAGCAAACAAACAAATAAACAAACAGTAGTATTACTGCTGGTTGTGCTCTTGATTAGGCTAGGTATAATACTTTCAATCTGTAATACAGCTGAATTTGCCTAGGAACTGGAATTCATGCCTTTCTCCAGACTATTTGGCTTTTCCTGAATACTGCTATCTTTTAGACAGTTTGGCACATGACAGTGAATAAAAGCAAGCACTCCTTATGTTTTTCAGTAGCTGCCAAGATGCTGGTGTGCAGGGAAATGATTAATATAGAAGCGAGTTGAATGTAAATTATTGTTGTTTAGGGTAGGTGGTGAATTATTGACAGAGAGGGGAACTGCATTACATAAAATGCACTTAGTTACAGGGATTGCCAAACTAGCATAGAGATGTTGGATCTAATGGCAAAGGGCAGAGAGAAGTTGTTTCTGTTTTTAGTACATGGACATATGCCTGTTCCCAAAAAGAAATGCTTGGATTTAAAGTCATACATGAAGCCACGACATTTGTGACTGCTCAGTCTGTAGCATAATTTATAAGCTATAAGGATAGCTCTAGAAAAGGACTATGTATCTGCATGCTCAAATGCAGCTATACTGTTAATCACAGGAGGCTGTACGTTTACGTCCTCCAAAGACAATTGAACAATACATGAGCATTTCTCCATGTCATGGAAGCGAGCAGCCTGAAGAACTGCCTTCAGAGAATGGTTTTAATTTGAAGTTATTGGCAGTGAAAAGTGACAGCTCAACTGCATCCCAGCAAGGTGGGCTGTGCACACCTAGGACAGGCAACTTGTGTCTTGCACTGACAGTCCCAATCATTCAGATGGTGGAAGTAAATGTCTGGCAAATGACTGCATGTTTCCCAGTGACCTTTCCTGGAGGGATCCATCTCTCAAGATAAAAAAGTGATCCAGTTTCTCTACCACTTTTACGGACCTTAGTCCTTTTGCTAAAAATGCTATCAAGATTTTTTGTGGCGTAGCTCCCACCCGAGGGTGACTTGAAAGTGTATGTGCACTTTTTTAAGATTACCAAATGGTTTTAACATGGTAATGAGTTTTACTTGCTGTAACTTTGGTTGGATCTGACCTAGCACTTAGAAGGAAAAGATTCCATAGAGTGCTCACAAGCCTTTCGTTCTTCTAGTCCTCCATTAAAGGATAGACCTTTGTTAGAAGTAGGCTATGTCTGTCCAGCTCCTGCACCACAGTTAAAGACTGCTTATCTTATACATACAGTATGCACAGTGATACTGCTCAGCAACCTCAAAAAGTCACTTTCTATATTTGTAGCAGAGAGATATACAGCAGTGAACTCTATGTCATTAACAATAACTTAAGTATGTTATCTTTTGCTCTACAGTTTTCTATGGTTTATTAATGGTATAACACATTAATTCTTTTTACAAGAGTGACCTTTAAAGCTCCATTCATCCTCACAGCTTTTATCCAATTACATTATCACTCATTACAGGTACAGCATTTCAAAATCTGCATTTTGTTAAAAGAAGTAAATTGCAGGCGTCTCAAACGTATGAAAAAATATCAGG